GCTAGAATTAGTTTTATAATTAGTTAGCCAGCTGGATGCAAGGAGTTAGTTTGTTATGCAAGCAGTTAGTTTGTTATTCTAATTTGTATATAAGGTTTTTCCTTATACACGATTCTGTAACTGCTTATCATTTAATCAAAGAAGATTTTCTCTCTATTTTTGATAGTTGCACATTCATAAAAATGAACCAGACATTGAAAAAAGCATTTTGGTTTTCCTTCCAACATACTATTCACAGGAGCAACAATGGTTCCTTCTGAAACCATTTAATACAGCATTCAAAGTTCATATTTTACATAGCAGTATTGACACTGATCAAGCTCTCAATGCTATGAAAATCTGCAAGTCCCGTTGTAAGGTAAACCTCTCTTTCAGGTTTTTTTTTGGGTTTTGCTGTCCTGACGGGAAGAGAGGGGAAGAGGAACAAGGCATGGGTGCTAATGGTTCTGCCCAATTCCCGAAAAATTCAGACCAAAAATGTGATAGAAAAATGGAATCATGATCGCTAACAATGGTCTTTGGGGTTCCATGGAGCTTGAAAACGTTGTCAATAAAGGCTTGAGCAATGGTGTGGACCGTGTAAGGGTGACTAAGGGCAATGAAATGGGCGTATTTGGTCAAACGGTTGACAACCACCATTATAACATTTTTGGACTGTGAGCGGGGAAGGCCTTCAATGAAATCCATCTTGATATTGAACCATGGGCGATCCGGAATTGGAAGCGGCTGGAGAAGACCTGGTGGATGGCAGTGCTCAACCTTATGGCGTCGACAAATGTCCTAGTTCCGAATGTGAAGGCGCACCGTTGTCTTCAAACCAGGCCAGTAAAAATTCTCTGAACCCGAGCTAGTGTCTTGTGGTAACCTGAGTGGCCTGCCAATGGGCTGTCATGCATTTGAAGAATGGCTTGTTTGTGCAGGTCGAGGGAACAGCCCAAATGGGGGCGGCCTTTGTAAAGAATCAACCTATTGTGTAGAGTTAGCTTCGGATCAGAGGAGCCTTCCCTAATCAATGTTTGGTACAGTGCAAGGAGCTGAGGGTCGCGTTGGTAAGCCTCCAGTAATTTTTGAACCCAAGTTGTTTCCACTGTTGAAATATGCATTGACGGGTTATCTTGATTCATCCTAGACAGAGCGTCGGCCACCTTATTCTTGCGGCCAAGTTTAAATTCAACACTGAAATCAAAGCCGAGAAGTTTGGAGATCCATTTCTGTTGAGTAGGTGTACCCACTCGCTGTTCCACCAGATATTTTAAATCCTGTTGGTTTGTACGGATTCTGAACCTTTGCCCCAATAGATAAGCACGCCATTTCGTCATAGTTAGGACTAGTGCAGAGATGGAGGTTTTTGCCCTGTAACCCCTGGCTAAGATAAGCTAGGGGACGTCCCTCCTGCATAAGAACAACACCAATGCCTTCACCAGAGGCATCACATTCAATGATAAAAGTTTTAGAGAAATCAGGGAGTCTTAAGACAAGAGGTGTGGATAGGGCCTGTTTGAGGTAGTCAAAAGCTGAAGTGTCAGTGTGGGTCCAATGAAAAGAATCTTTGCGCAGGAGTTTTGTCAAGGGCGGGACAATGGTGCCGTAGTCCTTGATGAACTTGCGATAGTATCCCGTGAGGCCTAGGAAACCCCGGAGGGCACGAACTGATTTGGGAAGGGGCCATTGAAGTATGCAAGAAATCTTTTTAGAATCAGCCTTGACACCATGGACCGAAATTAGATGACCGAGGTATTCAATCTCATGACAACTAAAATGACATTTAGATAATTTGACATATAGTTGATGACATTTAAGAATGTTAAGAACAACATTGAGGTGGGAGATGTGTTCTGTAAGAGTTTTGCTATAAATCAAAATGTCGTCAAAAAAAATCAAGACAAATTTGCGCAAATAGGGACGAAAAATGAAACTTTGAAAAGTAGATGGGGGCATTAGTGAGGCCAAACGACATGACTAAAAATTCATAATGCCCTTGGTGAGTGTGGAAAGCCGTCTTTGGGACATCCTCGGGTGCGACCAAAATTTGGTGGTACCTGGGAGATTGTGTTTAGAGAAAATCATAGCCCCACACAATTCATCCAATAGTTCATCAATAAGAGGAATAGGATACTTATCTTTGATTGTCACTTTGTTCTGAGCGCGATAGTCGACACACATACGCCAACTTCCATTCGGCCTTGCGTACAAGTAGGATTGGAGAAGAATAAGGGCTTTGACTTGGTCGAATTATGCCACTGCTCAACATTTCAGTTATCAATTTCTCAATCTCGTCCTTTTGGTAATAGGGATACCGGTAAGGCCTTGAGCTAACTGGACCCGCCCCTTCAAACAGCTGGATTTTGTGGTCTTGGCTCCAATGTGGAGGTAAGCCGGTGGGTTCCCGAAAGATGTCAACATAAGTAGAAATCAACGGTTGGAGGGCAAGAGGCACCTCAGGAGTGGATGTGGAAGAATCGGCCTACAAGAGGTGAACCAGCAATCCTTTTGTGCGAGGATCCGAATGAAAGCAGAAGTCATGCAATTCCATCAGTGTAGGCACAGACGAGCTTAATCCCTGCAAAATAATTGTGTTATTGTGCCAAGTAAAGCCCATAGTAAGCTTAGCAAAATCCCACAGGATTGGCCCAAGGGTGCATAACCAATTGACGCCGAGAACCAAATCACACCCTCCCAACGGAAGCAAGTAGAGAGTAGTGGAAGAGAGAAAGGCACTGATACATAATAGCCTAAGCAAGGAATACGATTGTCGTTGGCCACCATCACCGACAAGTGAGGTCCGTCAATTATGGGCAGATTGGCACGATCAGCTACTTTGGAATCTATGAAACAGTGGGTGCTACCTGTGTCAATAAGCACCTTGACCTGCTGTGAGCCCACCTGGCCAAGTAATCGCAGAGTGCGAGGTGCGGGAGCACCAAAAATTGCGTGTAAGGATATTTCAACTGTGCCACTTGGTGATGATGAAATAGGCCTGTCAGTATCCTCCATGGTAATAGCAGGTGGTTCCGGATCTCCAAGTGAGTCATGATCTTCCAATCCCTCCAGCAAAAACACTCTAGGTGTCTTGCAGCGATGCCCAGGGTCCATTTATCTTCACGATAATAATTGAGGCCTCGTTCGCGTCGTTCCCGCATTTGAGCTGAAGAAATGCGCTGAATGGGTAAATTGGTTCTTGGTGTAGATGGTAGAAGGCGTCGGTTAGGGAGTGGTGGAGGTGCAGGCAATGAAGAAGGTGTATAGGGAGGCATGGATCTGTAAGAGGGTAGTCTAGAGAAGCTGGTCTGTTGTTGGGCTGGATTTGCTGCAGATGTAGTGAAATTGGGCCGATTAAATGGGGCACACCTGCAAACTTCTTCTTCATAAATTCTGCCTAGGCCGAAGGCAGTGGGTTAATCAGATGGCTAACATAGTGATCATGGTGCGGATGTCATCTTTGAGCCCACTTATGAAGGTGCTGACCCAGAAATCTTTAATGTTCTGTTTGGTATCATGAAAAAATTGAAAGATGGAAAATTAGAGGGATATATAAAATATCATATTTGATAAGGAAGGAAAATAGGAAGAATGAAAAAGTTGATAAATTAATTTTCATTCTAAATCACTAAAATCAATCCCTCCAAAATCGAAAAGAAAATGAATAAAAAGTTAATTATTTGTGTTAAAATATGTCTAAATTGTCTATATATCTTTTAATATATACATATATTATGTATACATTAATTTCATATAAAAATACAACGATAAAATATGTATTTATATATATATATATTTAAAAAAAATTTAAAAAAAAAAAAATTAAATTCAAAAAAAATATTCATCTTAACTAGAGGTGAAAATTTTTGACTCAGCATGATGACACGACTCAAACTCAACGTGAATTTTATGACATAAACTCGATAATAACTCTACACGAACTTGAAAATTACTTGACACGCGAACAAGAAATATAAAAAGCTCATATTCAATTCAATCAGTCAAATTCAAAATTGACACCATCAACCCGTTTATTTAAAAATAAACACTTTTTATATTTTCTCGTTTGTATGGTAACACGAAATTATCACGAAACTAACATGTTTAACTAATATTATAGACACAAAATGTTAATTATTTGTAACTATTTATTAAATACTGGCATAATTATTATATAAAAAAGATATTTTTACTTATTATTATTATATTTATTTAAGTTAGTTTTTAGTTTGTAGAAAAAATATTAACATGGATTCAATTAAGCGAAAATAGAATATTAGTGTTAATTTTTTTATTCAAAGTTTATGTAGGTCAATACGAATACGAATACGAACACGATATAAAAATAAACAGGTTTATTCACAACTCGACACGACACAATTAGTTAAATGAGTTGAGAGTTAGATTTGATTAATGTTCGACATAAATCCGTAATAACTCAACACGAATTTGACACGACACGACTTGATTGTCACCTCTATTTTTAGCCAGCATAAAAAAAAAAAAAATTAGTCATTTCTATTTTTCATCCATCCAACCAAACACAAAGGAAGAAAAATGTATCATTTATATTTTTCTTCCTTGAATGATGAAAATCGTATTCCTCATTCTTTACATCCTTCCTGTCAAACGGAGCATAAGGTTAGTGATGCGATTTGAAAGTAATTCAAAGTGGAACTAATATTCTTTAACTATGGAGGTCTGCTGAAGTTTGGTAAACTCAGCCACTGGGTCATCAAACGGAGTAGGAGCAAATCGTAGTTGAAGTGCATCGACAAATGCATCCCAGGTCTGGACCGGATGTGCTTCCTCCAACAATTGAAACCAAGTAAGTGCCTTGCCTTCCATGTGAAATGAGGCCAATTGGAGTTTTTGTGGGTTGGGTGTATTATAAAAGGCAAAGAATTATTTGGCACGAAAAATCCAACCAGTGGGGTCGGAGCCGTTAAACTTTGGGAAATCTAACCGCATGGCACGACCTTGAATTCCAGTCGATGTTTCAAAGAGTGGGTTGGGATGGTTCAGAAAGGTTCATGGGGATTGGGCGTTGAGGGGTTGGGTTGGTGGGTCAAGGCTAGGGTTAAGGTATTGTAACTGGTGGCTAAACTCGCGACTTGTTGAATAATTTCTTCCAACAATTGCTGCTGTTTGTTTTGGGCATGGGATAATTGGTTCTGGCTCTCACGAATGGAAGCATTCTCGGCTTGCAATTGAGAAAGTGCCTCCAAAAGTTGAGACAGACGAGTTCCATCAGCCATGGAGTTATCCTGGCTCTGATACCACTGTCAAGTATCCAGTAACTAAATAAGGCTCTTCGAGGGGCCAACCTCCAGTATACTTGTAATTGACTCAAGGAAATTGATATCCTCATTAATCAAACAAAATTACAATATATAGACCTTTGGACTTAACTGCTTGTAACAACCAAGAGAAGATAATGGCCTAATGGCCCATGAACTGCTTGTAACTACCAAACATGGTCCATGGCACAATAACAATAATGGACTGAGTCAAACACCAGACTCCTGACTCTTTCAGACTCCTAAATAAATGGAAAAAACAATTACAAAGTGCAAATAAATAACCATTGGATGAATTGGACAATTGGGATTGGTGCACGTGATTTGTCACATGACATCTTTGGACCAAAGTAAATTAAACATAACATTTGACAATTCGCCATAAGTACTAGTATTGAGCTGCGCTCGATCTATCCAATGTTCAACCTCAGAATCGCATGACTTAACATGTTCTTTCTCACCCAGAACAAAATCTGGGCCAAAATTCAAATCAGCGCAACTGTTGTATGCATAACTTGACACACTCTGGTTAAAATGAGGATGCAAATGTGCAGTATTAGGCACCATATGATCAGACATTTGTGCAGCATTAGGAACCACATCATTGTGCCTAACTACAACATTCGGCACCATATCATCGTACATTTGAGCAACATTAGGCACCACATCATTGTGCATATCTGCAGCATTAGGCACCATTTCTTTAGCCATGTTATAAACCAAGTGTCCATATACGCAATCTTCGACCGAAAAATCAATTGACTCCACATCAACACCCTGTGGTAAAGCCGCATCATTGAGCATATTGTCCACTCCATATGGATTAACCCCTGTTTCATCAGGTTCTTCTTCTCCATGATCTTGCCGTGGGTTGTTCTTGGGCTTCACTCTCGTTTGATAGATTTTGCACAACACCAAATCATCCAACTGTAGGAAAAAAAAATGCTATGAGCTACTCTATTGAACTGTTGATTAATCTCTTAATCCATAACATGTATGCAATGGATCACGAAAAAAGAAAACAAATCGTGGAAAATCAATAATTGCCACTTTAGAGCTATAGATTTTTGAATCACTTTGACATAAGTAAAATTACTGTATACCTTCATGTCACCTGAAGCCCTACTTGGAGTATTCTGCACCTTAGCTGTGTATTCTTGCGTTAGCCAATTAGTCTTCCCTTGAGATCCATCTCTAGCATTCTTTTCATAAAAAACTAACGACTTCTTGTACCCGACCATTGCTATAAATTGGTTTGTCACCTCCTGAAGCCTTCCACCATCCATCACCAGTATTTCGGTTGGGCCGGGTGCCATTAGCGTACCTCTTTTCCCTTGGGGTAAAGAAATACAATTCATCTTCTCCATGTAATTTGTATTTCTCTGTCATTCCGAGAATAACCATGGTTATTTATTCAACATTAAAGTTGAAGTATAAAAATAAAATAGGGGCACAATCTAGATATCAAAAAAATATGAATGATCACCTTTAGAAATATATAAAAATAAACAAAGATAGAATAGTATGAAAATTGAACATTTGCATATGGATTGTGAACCTAACATTACTCTATACTCGCCATTTATCATAGGATAGTTATGAATTAAATCTGATGATTCACAAAACAGCCTTATGCACAATCAACAGTCGAGTGTGTGATATAGCGTAATTAATGAATAATTAATAAAATAATTAGTGGCAAAAAACTAAATATCAGGCCAACACGCAAATATATAGTGGTTCGGTCTGGGTGACTTACTTCACTCCGAAAGCGGCAACGGCGGTCGGAGAGCCTATATTAATAAATAAGGTAAGGGAGAGGGAGTTCCAGGAGATGTACAATAGTTAAGAGAGAGAAAAATTATGTGGGTGGTGTGTAGAGAAGTGTAGAGATGCCCCTCTCAATAGAGAGAGCTTACAATTAATAGGCATGAAGTTTTTAGGTGAGGTGGTGATGTGAGGGCAAATGTATTAGTTCCTTGGGAAAGATAGTTATAAAAGGTAAGTACAATTAAAATAACATTAATCTTCGAGAGTGGGTATCCCGATGATTATACTCTGTGTGCTCTAATCGTCCGTGTACATTGACCCGCCCACTTTGTTCGTAACAGTAGCTTGTGACGCCATTCTCGAACCCTAAAACAGAAAACTTGAAGTGTAAGAAACAACTTGAAAAAAAAAAACAAAAAACTGTGAGAGTGGCTTTTGGATTCGAGGAATCACCATTGCAGGGAGAGAAAAAACGGCATTTTTGAAGGCCAAAATAAATCTCAACTACAAATTGGATATGTCATCTCTCTTTTTCTCTCTCTCTCTCACACACACGCACAAGAACATAAATAGCAATTCGTTTCCTTTTAGAACATTATTACGTGAACTTAAAAAATAGACTTGATAATCTTAACAATTTATTTAACTGTGAGTCCCAACATTTATTATGACTCATTATCTATTTAATGGTCGAGATTATCTAATTTTTAAATTTAATTTTTAAGTGCATATAATATTACTCTTTCTTTTAAGGCAAAAAATAATCGACCTAAACCTGTCATACTCATACACACAGATACCTAGAGAATGTACATACTACAGAGAGACATATATACAACATTTTACGGGTAGGAACGAAAAAGTAAAAAAAATTATACAAAAAAACAGAAAAACAAAGTAGAAATATCTTACAAGAAGGAACCTTCTCACCTTANGGGGACTTGTGACCCGATGGGTACGTGATCTCGATAACAAGGATCAATGACACCGATGACACGTGTCTTCATCTTGGAATATTCCGAAAATGTCCCATCAATTCCAATGTGTCACTGTCATCAATCCATAATATAGAATGCAAAAGCAACACCAGTGCTGTAAACAAGATTGAATTATTATTCTACTTTCTATACTGTCTTTACCTTTCACCTCCTGAGCAGAAGCATCGGCCTAAACTTCAAACCCTGCAACAAATATGGAAGATGAGAAATTAGAAAAAGCAACCTCTACACCATGCAACATCATACCGGTCTGTAAATGTCTTAAGAAACGGCAAGAGAAAACCAGTCCATAACCATCTGCCAATAACACACTTCATATCAATAGCTTAACAGAACAGAACACATAAAAGCACACATTTTGTTTACATGAGATCTCCAAAACCAGTTCTCACAAGTTGTCAACATGTACAACACAGGATACCCACATAAGCCGCCAACTATTATTTCATAATTCTGGCAGCAAAAGAAAAGAACTTATTTGTCACCGTCAAAGAGTTAATCCATCATGCCTTCTGGTTTGTCAAGTCTTCTGCATTTGCTGTCTAGGAAAGCTCCTGTTAGTGTAAGCCATCTTCAACTCAAGCTATAACCTATAGCTGTAAGAGTGTTCCAGATGCTTCAGCTGGTTACATTTGAGAGTCAAAATGCTGTACAGAGGCTGTTAACCTTTATGTTAGAGGAGCAATCCTGTTGGATCCTGACGGGACTGCATAACCTACTTCTCTTTGGCTCGGAGATCCTGACACGTGAAATCGCCGCAGCAAGGACATCCACCAAGCCACTGTCTTCACCTTCAAGCATCTTAGTGGAACTACTGGATGATAAAATTAGACCAGAGTCATCATTGAGAGAGATGCTGGCTGTTATCTTGTTTCTCTCCGACTCCATCCCAGGGCCAACGGTCAGCTGTCGTGAAGTCAATTTTACATGGTTTTTCATTTTTGCCTGGGAAAATAGTGTCATCGAAGTGTGTTCTGTGTAGAACAAAATCCAGGGATGCCCTGAAAAGACACAAACTTTACCATATAAAGGAAAGAAGAGAGAATAATAGCAGTTCCACGTGTCTAACAAATATGAATTTAAGAGCACATCAATATTTGATGTCTATAGTTGTTATTATATGAACATAAATGCATGAATCAAGAAATGAAACCAAGGCTCCATCTAGTACCATGGTGAATAGGACTAAGATTGAGGCTTGCTTAAATGTAAACACAGCTATTCAAACAAAGTAGTCCTAGAACTTGGATACATGAGGAAGTCATTTCACAATTACTCTATTTGATCTAAAACTAGGAGTGGACAACAGCCACTTGAATAAGTTGCAGCAGAACCGGGACATTCCTCTAGGCAATGACAGCCTCTGGGAATGAAATACAATCCAACAGACCCAATACACCAAAGGAAGTTGAACACGACAGAACACTTGCACATTTTATCAATTATTACATGGTTTTGAAGTCTCATGCTTTAATACTTGACTGGAAAACATATCAACTGCATTGTACGATTTTCAACTGGTTGTGCTAACAGAAGAACCGGCCCTGGCAGCCCTGACCTCATTTTGATTGGTACAAATTTCAAAACCATTACCAAGTATGTGTATAAACTATGCAATGCCTAAAAAAAATGATGAGTGCAACTGGAGTTCGTATCTAGTTTCAATTGTAACTTCCAACATATGTTGGAGATCTGACATATTTCACTTCAGCTCAGCATCCAAGTATCAATAAGAGAATCAAGCATTTCATATATTTAGTTGTCTATTTATGAAAACAAAGCCTACATGATAAAATAAAGACACCCAGAGTTAACTCACTTAGCACTTCATCAGCACTGAACCTCACTGAAACATCCCTTGCCAGCATGCGAGCAATCAGATCACAAGCAGATTGTGATACAGATTCCCACTCTCGACCACTGAAATCAAGACTCCCCTTCTTGATAGCATCAAAAACAGTTTCTACAGAATCACCATGAAATGGGAGCACACCTACTAGCAGTCCATAGAGGAGGATACCGGCACTCCAAATATCCACTTTTTCTGAATAATCACCTGTCAAAACTTCTGGCGCAATGTAGGCAGGACTTCCAACTATACCAGTCAGGCTCTGGCCTGTATTAATGAAGATAGAATTTCAGACATTGCAAAGTTCGTTATAGTTTATAGTTGTACACAAGGAAACATATAGCAAACATAAAGGTACCGTACAAGCTGAAAATACAATAATTGTTGATGGAGTAATAATTAAGGAGTGTGCAAAACATTATCCATTTGATGGAAAAGAAGAGGTCCCCAGTTTGAAATGGTTGTAAGGCCAAAAGCATCTTTAATTGTTCTAGGTGTGTCTAGGTTATCTAAGGACTTTGAACAAAGTTTGAACACTTAGAACCCCTGGTTTGAGTGTTGTTCTTGG